GTTCATCTTTCCCTCGACCCTGACTAGTCTCCCAGTCCCTGCCGCTGAAAAACATCCCCACAGCATGATGCTTCCACCACCATGCTTCACCGTAGGGATGGTGCCAGGTTTCCTCCTAACGTGACGCTTGGCATTCAGGCCAAAGATTTCAGCCTTGGTTTCATCAGACCAGAGAATCTTGTTTCTCATGGTCTGAGAGTCCTTTAGGTGCCTTTTAGCAAACTTCAAGCGGGCTGTCATGTGCCTTTTACTGAGGAGTGACTTCCGTCTGGCCACTCTACCATAAAGGCCTGATTGGTGGAGTGCTGTAGAGATGGTTGTCCTTCTGGAAGATTCTCCCATCTCCACAGAGGAAGAACTCTGGCTCTGTCAGATGACCATCGGGTTCTTGGTCACCTCCCTGACCAAGGCCCTTGTCCCCTGATTGCTCAGTTTGGCCGGGCGGCCAGCTCTAGGAAGAGTTTTGGTACCCTTCCCCAGATCTGTGCCTCGACACAATCCTGTCTCTGAGCTCTACTGACAATTCCTTCGACCTCATGGCTTGGTTTTTGCTCTGACATGCACTGTCAACTGTAGAACCTTTTTATAGACAGGTGTGTGCCTTTCCAAATCATGTCCAATCAATTGAATTTACCACAGGTGGACTCCAATCAAGTTGTAGAAACATCTCAAGGATGATCAATGGAAACAGGATGCACCTGAGCTCAATTTCGAGTCTCATAGCAATACTTATGTAAATACATTTTTGTATTTATTGTTTAAAATGTCTAAAAACCTGTTTTCGCTTTGTCATTATGGGGTATTGTGTGTAGATTGATGTTGTTTTTTCATCCATGTTAGAATAAGGCTGTAACGTAACAAAATGTGGAAAAACTGAAGGGAGTCTGAATGCACTGTATATATTGCACATAAACAGGTATAGGAATCTCCTTAAAGCTATGCCTCGGCACTTGCACATCTGAGCTTTCTTTGTTGCAGGTGCATGGTAACAAATGAATAACATGAGAGAAAAGAGAAACCTGCACGCTACTCTTGCTAGTATCACTGTTCTTGACGAAGGCCTTGAGGCTGATACGTCAAACTTAATAAAGAACATTGATACTAGCAAGAGCAGCATGCGGGTTTCTCTTTTCTCTCAAGCAATGCCTCGGTATAAAAGCACTGGTTACAATTCACAGCGTAGTATATTGCTCCATAATAATTTTGTTTCACTTTCTAAATGTCCATAGATCTGTTCTAAAATTCATCAACAGTGCACTGTCCCCCATAGTTTATTTATCCCTGCATACTGTTTTGTCACAGGCAAATTTAGATCAGAAATATTGCTTATCCGATAAAGTTAGAGACTGATTTTAAGTCCCTCTGATGTGAATGTTTCATACCGGTAAGTTTAATATTACGTTTTTCTCAGTCAAGCGTAACTGGGGAGGGATAGATAAATAGCTAAGATATCCTCCTCAAAGGCTATATTGTCTAAAAATTGTAAAAGATTCAGACAGTGGCTATTTAAAACCATTCATGAAGAACATCTGGTAGCGAACAAATGTTAATGAGTTAAAATTAGAACTCCATATTATCAGGGGAGACGGGATCCATCTTGTTGAATGTTTAATGATACTAATGGGTAGGGTAGAGTGTGTTCACTGCTTTTGAGTGGGGGAGAGACGAGCTCTTGAAAACATTGATTTTCAGCCTTTTATGTCTGCAGCATGAGCATATAATTCAGTTTAACAGAACTCTGGCGGAAATACCAGATAACAGGTGCCTGAAGTCCTGGTAGGGTTTCTGATATGCTGCTTGTATAACTGCATAAAATGGCAGGGACACATAATAATTTCCATGCTGCATTTGATAGATTTGACACAGATAAAAGAACAGCAGCGGACTCAGGTTCCCCCTTTCTGAAAATGAAATGTTGAGCAGAGAGTAGCAGAAAGGATAGACCTATTAATATGCCATGAGTATTGATCATCAGTAGGCATGTTATGTTGTCAGATCATGTAGGGCCCTTCACTGATGATATTGAATGGGTTTTGATTCATTACTTATTTCACAGTAGGTCATGTTGACTTTGCACTATGAAGAGGTAAGTAGTGACTCTTTCATAGCCATCACTAGTCCCAGGTGGCTTTGTGAGCAGTACGTGCTGTCGTTTCACCATTCACAAAAAGATTCTAGAAGGTTCTGACTAAATCAACTTTTTTCTACTAGATTATAACGCTTAGTTTATTTTATTTGATACTGAAAGCTTTGGTTAATCTCGTTGTTTTTTTTAACCCAGATTTTACCAGGTAAATTGACTGAGAACACGTTCTCATTTACAGCAACGACCTGGGGAATAGTTACAGGAGGATGAATGAGCCTTATGATATGTGATGGTTGTTAAAATTGTCTCCAGTACTTTTTCAGGGGATCTGATGTTTGTATGAAATGTGAATTTTTACTGTGCTGCAGTCTTTGTTTAAGGATGTCGCCCGGTCTCGTCAGTCGTCAGCTCATCGATTAATCCTCCAGGAAGCATTTTGCAGCAGGTTGTACTACATCATGCACTAGTAAATACACATTAACACCCCATACTACTGTATTATGACCTCCCTTTGTGTTCCTCATGAAAGGAGTGAACAGGGATTATTCACATGTTTGAGTGTCACAGGACCTTGGGAAAGAGCAACACTTCATGCTGGAAAAGGAGGAAAGAAGGATAGGCTTGCACCATTGAAAAAGTGGAAGAGTCAAACAACCTGAAAACAACTGTACAACTACAAGGTGCAGAGTTTTACCTGAACATGTTTTATGTCATTAACAAACATCTGGTTGATGCAGTATTAAACAAGGAATTCATCTGACAAGGGATAGACACCTTGGTGAGTACATTTTCTAATGCTGTCAGTGGTTACCATTTTTTGATCTTATTGCATTTAACCAGAGTCATTATTTACTATGTGAACTAATTGTAATTTGTACATACCATTTTATATTTCAGTCATAACAATTGCTATGTTTATTTTTTAATAAAGAGTATCTTATTTTAAACATGTCTCTAGTTTTTTAGTGTGTTCTCTTTTATTACTTTGTAGTCTATTTGCAGATGAAGTTGAATGATCTAAAGTTATTAGTTTTGCAGGGTTCAAACCAGTGATTTAGATACACTTAGATGACTGACAGGGGGCGCTGTTTACAAGTCACCGCACATCCATCTTGGCGCTCCCCTACCATTGTTAAAATATATTTTGGAAGCTATAGAAATGCTTTTATTATTAATGTCTACATGTTTCTTCTGAGGAGTGTCAATATGGCCGACCAGTGGCTTCAAAGCCTTTCATTGACCAATACATAGCATCAGCAATCCAGGGTTTATATACATCATTGGTCCAAACCTGATGGCATTAATTACAATTTGACCAAATGATAAGATTCAGTCAACCAGCATTAAGTTATGTTGTCAGACTTTGTCCTCTAGAGGGCAGAGTTGCTTAAAGGAGTTGGATGATAACTTGTGTCATTTAGATCTTTGCAGAGGCATATGAAATATCAGACATTATGTTATTACTGACGTTATCTTACATGAAAACACTAATCAAAGGTTATGTAATCAAATTGGTGTAGTGCAAACCATTTGAAAAAATCCCATCAGGCTGAGGTATGTGGAAAGCACTTTCAGACCTTTATTTGCAGTCATTAGTCACTATCTATATTCCTTCTCTCAAAAGGCCATTAATCTGGGTCTTTGAAGCCACTAATCTAAAAGTTAACCAATGGTACAGACTAGGGCTGTTACGGTGACCATATTACCACCACACCGCGGGTCACGAGTCATGACGGCAGTCAAGTTCCACGTGACCGTTTACTCATGGTAATTAGGCTTTTCTAAGCTCTGATTCTGCTGATGGTCATTAGTAGCATACCAAACTTGCTAACTGCCTGGTACTCTGCACACTATTGTCCCACTAATCACGCTGACATCAATTAAAATGTAATCGAAAATCTAATCAAACACTTCATGAGAGCCCATGAGCTCATGTTGTGCAACATTTCTATAAGGCTATGCAATTGCCTGACAAAACAGAGTGATGGCCTCGATTAAAAAGAGGAGGATCCCATCAGTAGGCTGTTCTGTTCTTCTGAAATAGACTACATTTTCTTCATATCATGTTTCTTTAGACCTGTCTAAATAAATAATGGATTTATTGTGATGGTGTAGGCTATATTACATGGATTTATTACACTTTTTAAAAATGTAGATGTTCCAAAGGTCTGCATTAGTGGCTTGTAGGCTATGCCTGGAAGCCAGGAGATGCTAAATGTGTTTATGTTACTTACCGGTCAATTACCATGAGACCGGCTTTTATTTGTTTGACAATCACCTGCTGACTAAATGTAATGACCACCACAGCCCTAGTACAGACTCCAATACGTTACATGCTATTATTCTAAAAAGTCAACATAATTATCCCCATAGCTTTTACAGGAATCTTTGTGGGAAAGGCTGAGTCAGATAAACTGGTACAGTACGTCATATGTGGCTTGTTATTAACCTGTAACAAGACCTAGGCTACATGTATACACACTAAGAACTGATATGCCTCTGGCATAAAGCATTGAAGTGCGCACTCACTGCTCCTACCTTTGTTTGCCCTGTCTAAAGGCAGGATCATAAATCAATACTTATTCTATAGCAAAAAGATACTATTGAAATGATATAATTGATACTATTTTTAAACCCTTTTTATTTCAAATTGTTTAATGATTTGAGGAATGGATACAAGATCATTTTCCATTCAATCTCGAGGACAAACACTGATGAAATGTTTTCTTATCGAATGATTGATAATGAACAATAAATATAAAATGATTGTATATTTTGTTTTTGTTTGAAAGGTTTCGGGTGAACTTGGCTCAATTCTTTTTTGTTCCCCTTATCTGATTTATTTACCTATTTAACTCTATTCTTATAGCCATTAAGTGGTTTCTTATCACTTCATTGTACAGTAAATGGCAGAAGTATATGAGAGGTACATTCTGGGAATAATGAACACTGTCCAAACACACTACAGTGTATAAAAAGGCCAGGGTATAGCCAGTCCAGTGTACTGTACTCTCAGGTAACTGATCAGACAAGATGAAGTTGGCTGTTGTGCTGTTTGCCTTAGTGACCCTTTCTGAGTGCCTTCTCAAGTAAGTACTATCATTTATTTAAAAAATATGTAATGTGTTTCATTTCTTGCACCTTATATCATCGTAGATTTCTGTAGGGTATTGTGTTGCTGAGAGAATCATGCTGAAACTAAAGTGAAAGGAAATCAGTTTTCTAACTGCAGCATCAGACAGTTTTGAGGCTCTGTTCCTCTCTGAGTCACAGAGATTGCAGTAGTGTTATATTATCTGATACTAAACTAGAGATGTCCACTCTGTGGCCCAGAATTCCTCTGATAAAGGGGAAGTCAGCCAGGCAGACTCTGGAGGAGAAGGGTCTGTATGAAGAGTACAAGAGGAAGTATCGCTACAACCCCAGAGCCAAGTTTAACACCAGGGCGGGAGATGCCATGGTGCCCATGGTCTACAATCCAGAGGTGTGCACCTAGCTATAGCCAAGTCAATCTTCATTGGTGACTGCTTAGGCTTTCTCGAGTGTCTGGCTGAAACATTCCTCATATCATCACATCAGCTCATTAACCTCTCTGTCTCACACAGTCAACATACTATGGAGTCATCGCCATCGGTACTCCCCCTCAGTCGTTCAATGTTCTCTTTGACACAGGCTCTGCCGACCTGTGGGTGCCCTCTCTCCATTGCAGCAGCACCCAGGCCTGCAGTGAGTATGGACACACAGTGATGACAGTGATACTAAGATACACAACCGTGAAACAATTAAATAATAACTAGTTGTGGAACTGTATCCTCTAAATAAGACGTGTTATTCTTTGATTCTTTGTTAAAAATGTTCCTTTAAATCATGTCTACTCCTTCTCTCTCTCTCACCCTCACCAGGAAACCATGCCAGGTTCAACACTACAGCATCCTCCACGTTCCAGCCCAGTTCAGAGACTTTCTCCATCCAATATGTCACTGGTTACTTGACAGGGGATGTGGGATACGACACCGTAATAGTGAGAATATCTATTTACTTTCCCCCACATCGGTGATGTAACACTATATGTACTCTCAGTATGATACTCACATTTCTGTACTAAATGAAATATTGTCACTACCTTTTAAAAACCATGTTTAACTTTATTTCCCAAACACAATTCAACACAATCACAATTGTTTTTTTGTCTTTTAATCATTTTAAGCATATTTTAACACTGGCTTAACACCTAACAAACACTTTGTACTTTTAAAACACTTTTAACATAGGCCCTGTTGTTACCTCATGTCCCAGCGATAATGCCTTGCATTAGGCCTTGGAAGCAAACACTTCAATTTGCTCAACTTGCCATTGGCTCAACTTACCCCATGGTCATTGGCTCAACTTACCCCAAGGCAAACATTTAGACTATATTAGTCCACACAGCTACACTTTCATGCTAGGTTTAGGACCTCACATTGAAGCTTATAGAGACCCAAACTGATGTATAGAACAATCATAAAATTATCTACTTTGGTTTAGTTACAAGCATCATGAAACCTCTAACACAATAAATTAATTTGACTTGGTGAAAATCTGTTTTTTGGACCTAACTTGAAATGATGACCTCATTGGTCAAATTAATAATTTTGTGTATGGTTTCCTAGAAACAAGGGTGGCTCAACTTACCCCTTCGGCTCAACTTACCCCACTCTCCCCTACAACTTCTCATTCTTAAAGGTCCAATGCAGCCATTTTCATCTCAATATCAAATAATTTCTGAGTAACAATTAAGTCTTCTTAACAAAGAGCAATTTCTCAAGCAAGAATTTTGCTAGGACTTTCTGATATTGGTCTGAGTAGTGAGGGGAAAACTGAAAACTAGCTGTTATTTGGGACACTTTCTTATTGGTCTATTAACTAATTCACCACCTGGTGTTGTCACCAGGCAGGCCAAAACTCCATCCCAACAAAACAGGCTGACATTTTTGGCGGTCTTTTCAAACTCTTACACTAAAAGGGCATTATTATTCCAACCTCATAGTGTGGAAGTATACACTGAGTGTATAAAACATTAAGAACACCTTCCTAATATTGAGTTGCCTCAATTCATCGGCGCATGGACTCTACAAGGTGTCGATAGCATTCCACAGGGATGCTGGCCCATGTTGATTCCAATGCTTTCCACAGTTGTGTCAAGTTGGCTAGATGTCCTTTGGGTGGTGAACCATTCTTGATACACACAGAAAACTGTTGAACATGAGAAACCCAGCAGCGTTGCAGTTCTTGCCACAAACCGGTGCGCCTGGCACCTACTACCATACCCCATTCAAAGGCACTTAAATCTTTTGTCTTGCCCATTAACCCTCTGAATGGCACACATACACAATCCATGTCTCAATATTGTCTCAATGCTTAAAAATCATTATTTAACCTGTCTCCTCCCTTCATGTACACTGATTGAAGTGGATTTAACAAGTGACATCAATAAGGGATCATAGCCTTCATCTGGTCAGTCTATGTCATGGAAAGAGCAGGTATTCTTAATGTTTTGTACACTCAGTGTATATAAAACACAGGAAAATCGCATTTTTGACTGCATTAGGCCTTTGAAATGTGTCACCACCAGCATTTTGAGTGGATGTGTGTGTGTGACTGGTTTTCCCCTCAGATCGGTGACTTGTATGTGACACATCAGATCTTTGGCCTGAGTCTGGTGGAGGATGCTTACCTGCTTACATTACCATGGGATGGGATTTTGGGCCTGGCCTTCCCCAACCAGCAGTCAATTAACGGAGGTACTCCTGTATTTGACAACATTTGGAAACAGGGCAAGATCCCTCAAGACCTGTTCTCCATCTATCTGACCAGGTGAGATTTCACTGGAGGAATAAGTGGACAGGGTTGGCGGGCGGGCGGGCGGGAGGGCGGGAGGGCGGGGGGTGGTTGATCTGCTGATGTTTACTAAGTCCCTCTATGTGATGAACATGGACATTCTTCTTCCCAGCTCTATAGATGGCAGTATGTTAATCCTGGGAGGAACTGACCCATCCTACTTCACAGGAAGCATCCAATGGATTCCCATCTCTCAACCTACTGGCTTCTGGCAGATCAAAGTAGACAGGTAATATTATGGATGGCTAGTGTTTGTGAGTTTATGTGTAACAGAATTGAAGATGATAATTGTCCCACACAAGACACCAGCCAAGTTCAAACTCATTAAGGATGATCAGTTACTGGTGTTATGCCTCCTTTTGTTGTTGATGACTCTACAGAATAGTGATGCTCTGCTGAATGTGCTCTGCCTGTTGCAGTATTACTATCAATGGGAATACTGTGGCGTGTGCAGCTGGCTGCCAAGCTGTAGTAGACTCTGGCACCACTGAGATCCTCGGGCCTACCAGCGACGTCAATAACATCAATGGCTGGGTGGGAGCCTACAGCGAACAGGTGTGTTTCACTGGATCTCAATCTTATGAACACAGTTTTGTAATGGATATTTATGTTTTTCATATTTCTAATAACTGAGGGGGAAATGATTTATGTTACTAATGTAAGTGACTCAGTAAATTCTTTAGGATTAAATAAAAAATAAACAAAATTCCTCACTTCTTTACAGGGTATCGTGAGTTGCAGTAATATAAAGCGCATGCCTGAGATTATCTTCAACATCAATGGATTCGGCTTTACTCTCCCAGCATCAGCCTATGTTTTCCCTGTAAGTCTCTCTAAAATGTAGTCTAATGTTCCATTTGAGCATGTATTTGAGTACAAAATCATAGTATTTTAGTGATATTTAAAGAATCATGCCAATTAAAATAACCACAGTGCCAATGCTATTATGGAAATGTTATCATTGTTGCGATGTAAGGGAATCAACACTGTTAGGATCAGAGATAAACGTTTCCACCTGTAAGTCATACTCCCCCTCTTCTCCCTCCAGTATGGCTCCAGCTGTAGTACTGGTTTTGGCACCTGGGACAATGATCAGTGGATTCTGGGTGAGGTGTTCATGAGGCAGTTCTACACTGTCTTCAACAGAGAGCAGAACTGGGTGGGCTTGGCCCAGGCTAAATGAGTCCAGAGTCAGATTGACACTGACAAACCCACTGGTGCCCCAACACTGACACCATGCGTGTCTGCATCTCAGACTGAGAGAGATTCACCAGCCCAACCATCTTTACTCCAGTTCTGTTTACATCTGAAGTGAACATCAGACAAGGGTAATGGAAAATGAACAAGCTCCACTACTATACAATTGTTCCAATTATGCAAATAAAACAAAGTTAACCTGTATCCGATGTATGATTGATTAAGTCTATTATGTTGTTTTCCAAATGTGTTGTCTGTTTGACCCTTCAAATGGATTATCATTCAGATTAACCAGATTGATTATGGGCCCATCCTCCATATAAAACTTGAGTGTTCTCCTCTGGTGTCAGACTGTATGTTCAGCGCAATCATTCACAATGCTGCCCACTAGATGGCATAAAAACTCATAGAGACTCACATAAACACTATATATTTTCGCTATTCATTTAACTGAGTCAGGAGGGGGCTTACAGAGAAAGGATGAGTCATCCTCTTTTGAATGCAGTCCACACAAACACATGCCAATCATTTAGCATCAGCAGCCACTGACTGGCATTAACCACGGCGTCTGTGCCTGCTCTAAATACAGTCATCTTAGATGGATTCAGGTCGTTTTTACATTTCCGCTGCAGGTCAAACAGTTCTAATTATTATATCTAACTATGCTTGAATATCTACAAGATGGAAATGCGTCATTTTTACTACATTTCCTCAATACTCCCTATTACTTAACTATTTGTGATGATAATACATATTGTACAGTATGTTACAGCAAGGCCATAGACCTCTTGCAGTGAAAATATCATGCATTCATTAATGTGCAGTAATCTAAGCATCTATCCACTATAAACCCTGTATGATCCAGTCCTTTTTACAGAGAGGGGGATACCAATGTATTGTTGTAGTTCATTCAGAACATCTGCTGCTTTAAATCACCCAGTTTAATCAAACTTGTCATTTAATTACAAAGACCTGGATGGTTTTGCTGCTGGTGAGGGTCAATATAGTAATAAGAGACATCTGGCGTTACTGACCAGAGCCCTATGGACCCTGGTCCAAAGTAGTGTACTATATAAGGAATAGTGTGCCATTTGGGACGCAGCCAGGGTTTTTGGACATCCCTCTCCAGTCCTCTTGAATCATTAATCTAGTAGAAGTCTCCATTTACACTAGCAGTATATATCAGCAGGTTCTGCAACACACACCTACATGTTATGGATTATAGAATCTCAATGGAAGGAGTAATGTACTTCTGCAGAGATTGACACTTAAATCATAATGACATTGAGTACAGTAGTTCAGATTGGTGATAAACACAAATGCACACAGAAACACACACTGTCCTTCCCTCAGTCTACCTGTTATTGAGTTACCTGTAAATAGCATATGGGACGTGATGGTGTGCACATAGGAAGAATAAAGAGCTTGCATAAAACAGTGGCTGAAGAAAGTAAACGGACGGATGGATGCAATAAACACTGCTCCCCGAGCAAGCTGAGTTTCCACCTCAGTGATCTGTGAGCTCTAGCATTTCACCCCCCAGTGACCATAGTGCATGTCATTAGGGTATTATAGAAACAGAAGCCAGTGGAGTGGCATGCCATTTGGCTCAGTGAAGCCTGATATTCAGGCTTGCACACGAACACTGGACACTCATCACAGAGGAACAGAAAACACAAAATCACAAGGAGAGCTGTAATAAAGCATCAATTCAAATATTGAGATTTCTCAACTTCATGTTATGTGTGTATTGAGTGCCCCTTTCCTAGAAAACACAGCATCATCACACTTCATGGTTTGGATGTTTATAAGGTTGTGAATACAGTTGACAGCTACAGGCACAGTGGATGAACAGGAAGACATTTGAGAGCATAGGAGAGAGATTCTGACAAAAGACTGTCATTACAAATTAATGCCTTTGTACTTGATTCAACAATTAATATGCAGTGAGCAGATACATTGAAGTATTCTTAATATAGTAAGTAACACAGAAGTACATTAGGTAAACGCAGAACATCACAAGAAATGACTACAACAAAGACACATAATACTTTTACACATACACTACCATTCAATAATTTGGGGTCACTTACAAATGTCCTTGTTTTCGAAAGAAAAGCAATTTTTTTGTCCATTAAAATAACATCAAATTGATCCGAAATACAGTGTAGACATTGTTAATGTTGTAAATGGCTATTGTAGCTGGAAACTGAGAAGAAGCCATATCTCAGACTGGCCAATACAATGAAAAGATTCAAATGGGCAGTCTGAGATATGGCTTTTTCTTTACAACTCTGCCTAGAAGGTCAGCATCCCGGAGTCGCCTCTTCACTGTTGACCTTGAGACTGGTGTTTTGCGGGTATATTTAATAAAGCTGCCAGTTGAGGACCTGTGAGGCGCCTGTTTCTCAAACTAGACACTCTAATGTATTGGTCCTCTTGCTCAGTTGTGCACCAGCGCCTCCCACTCCTCTTTCTATTCTGGTTAGAGCCAGTTTGCGCTGTTCTGTGAAGGAAGTAGTACACAGCGTTGTACAGGATCTTCAGTTTCTTGGCAATTTCTTGCATGGAATAGCCTTAATTTCTCAGAACAAGAATAGACTGACGAGTTTCAGAAGAAAGTTCTTTGTTTTTGGCCATTTTGAGCCTGTAATCGAACCCACAATTGCTGATGCTCCAGATACTCAACTATTCTCAAGAAGGCCAGTTATATTGCTTCTTTAATCAGCACAGCAGTTTTCAGCTGTGCTAACATAATTGCAAAAGGATTTTCTAATGATCAATTAGCCTTTTAAAATGATCAACTTGGATTAGCAAACACAATGTGCCATTGGAACACAGGACTGATGGTTGCTGATAATGGGCCTCTGTACGCCTATGTAGATATATTAAAAATCAGCCGTTTCCAGCTCCAATAGCCATTTACAACATTAACTATGTCTACACTGTATTTCTGATCAATTCTATGTTATTTTAATGGACAAAAAAATGCATTTCTTTCGAAAACAAGGACATTTCTAAGTGACCCCAAACTATTGAACGGTAGTGTAGATACAAATAACAATTACTCAGCTGATTCCCTTTGTGAGTGTTATAGGAGACTACACACATGTTACTCTTTGCATATTTGAAGTAATTCATTGCTTGGTCCGAGATTATACATTTTCTTCACCTGGAGAAAATGATAAGTCTTTATACAGACGAGCCAAGGGCTCTACCAGAAATGACCATGTCAATTGTACAATGCCAGAAAAGTGTCCAATTTAAGGGTTTTCAAAGCATAACAAGAGTATAGGTTATGATAATATTCTCATATAACATTATCTGGCTATAATTTACAACTCCTCTGCTAGTATGCAAAAACACATCCACAGTATCTTGCAACATCTTTATATAATTAGTAATAAAGTAGAGATACATACTATTAAACATCTGATTAATATATAGTATGTGATAGTTAGATAACGTGTAGTACGCATACATATGAACTATATGACCCTGAGTAGGCAGAATGGATAGCATAAGAAAGCCTTCTCTGAAAATGTTAGTGGCACATCTTTTGTTATTTGTGTTCAGTAACTGCTTTACTGTGAGTTAATAAAGTGCCTTTCAGCTTATACTATAGGTTTGAGTACATAGTCATAAGAGGTGGGAGTCTGTCTTCAAAGTGGTCCCTCTACAACAGCACCACAGTAAGTACGTCCATCAAGGTACTTCAATTATAATGGCACTTGATTTCAAGTTAAGAGGGATAGAGATACTCAGGTTGAAAAGCTGTCAGTCAAGGTTAGGTAAGATCTAATGAAGCGTGTTAAGAAACCCCCATAGCCTACAACAGGGTGACTGAACAGAGCTACATCATAAGGTTTAGCTACAAAACAAGAGCTCAAACCACCTTGATATACAGCTGGGTAAAATTAACATCTGAATGTTTGTTGACCATTTTTTCTGAGCTCATGGTGTTGGCATAATATAAATTACCTTTGTTTGTATTATACCACCTACGTCAGTCCTTAATCTTATAGGTGCAGTTGTGTCTGTTTAGCAATACAAGTGAATGACCGCATGATACAGTATCTGTTGTTCCAGTGCTAGAGTTGTGTTTATAACCAATGCTCAGCTGTGGCAGGGGCGCTAAGTGGGCTAGCGTATTAGCTATACTACTGGCTGCTATTTCTGACCGTGTTTATGAGACGATCGCCCAGTAGGCATTTGTCCGTTTGGCTAGGGACTTGGACTCATAACCAGAAGTACTCCGTGGATTGTCACGACAACTCCCTTTGGTAGGGCTTGGCTGCTAACAAATATCCTTTCTGTCCCAGGCACACACTGTCCCACCAGCATTCCCCACCTTATAGTGATTAAGTGACAGAGACTATTCTTAGCCTGGTGATCCAGGCTTCATAGCAGCACATATGTATTGGAGCAATGTTGTGTCTATTGCAGTGAATAGACTTTAATGCTGCTTCTATTGGTTACATAAATTCAGCTACAACTCGTAACGTCTTTGTGCCCCTTATCACTGGAAAGCATCAACAATATTGGCATTTTAAAACATAGAGATTGAAGCATTTGATGAACACAGATTGCTACAGAATAAGTTAGTGAGAATGAATTCTCATTTGGTTGAAAGTTCTTGTCTTATAAAAAGACAATATAGTGTAATACCACTACGTAAAGCTACTTGCCCTACTGAACTGATGCATATGGGAAGTGGATAGCCTTTTTCTGCTTAATAATCAAGTCACAGTCCTACTGAGGCAGCTGAGTCGCCCATCCTCCACCCTCCCCCCAATGTTTTGATGTGGAAGATCTTCTAGTTGAAGCGAAACACCCTCTCACACCACAATATGGGTGTCCGAACACACAGAGCTCAGAGACTCCGCATCTGACTTTCTTCTCTGTCCCTGCCTCCCTCTGTCCTCCTCCCGCCACTCCTCCTCCTCCTCCCCACATAGGCTCAGTCGCCCATTCTGCTCAATCAGGCCCTTTGGGTCTGGGAAGGCCACATGCCTGTTGAAGGGAGGCTTATCGAAGGCCCCCCCTCCTCCTCCGCCTCCCTCTGGGCCTGTGTCCTCATGGGTGGGAGAGACGCTGACGGTGGAGGAGTGGAGGCTGTCCCCCAGAGCCCTCTTGTCCAGGCCCTGACCTGAGCAGCAGAAGCAGTGGCAGGGTGTGAGGTAGAGGTAGATGAGCACCATCACCGCACTGGCCAGACAACCCACCAGCGTGGTGTAGGCCGTCTTCATGCCCTCATGCCCTCCAGCCTGAGTGGTGTTGTGCACCTCCACAGTCACATACAGGGTCTCATTGAGGGAGTCCCCCACTGCGTAACAGGTGTAGAC